CCTGGGAGCTTCCCAGGGGGGGTCCCAGGAAGGGTCCCAGGAAGGTTGCATGGCGGGCAGGAAGCCGAGGCGTACACCCTAAACCCTAAATCTCTACCATGTATATTTGAACCATATCGTTGAATTTCAGAATTTGGCCGCTTTGTTTTCAGAATTTGGCCGCTTTATTTTCAGAATTTGGGCAGTTTTTTGCTTTCTCAATGTTGTGGGATTCTCTGGGTGGGTGGGTGTTCTATCCGAGCCGTAAAAAAACTTAACCATGAAACTGCTCGACCCGTAGTGCTGAACCCTGAACCCTAAACCCTAAACCCTAAACCCTAAACCCTAAACCCTAAACCCTAAACCCTAAACCCTAAACCCTAAACCCTAAACCCTAAACCCTAAACCCTTGAAGCACGGAGGCTCACCGGTACGCTGGCCCTCGTGGACCCGGCAGAGGCCTACACCAGGCTGATGGACATCTCAGACGACTCTTTTCCGCTTGGCTGGTTTAGGGTTTAGGGTTTAGGGCTTAGGTTTAGGGTTTAGGGTTTAGGGTTTAGGGTTTAGGGTTTAGGGTTTAGGGTTTAGGGTTTAGGGTTTAGGGTTCAGGGTTCAGGGTTCAGGGTTTGGGGTTTAGGGTTTGGGGTTTTAGGGTTTATTGTTTAGGGTTTGGGTTTAGGGTTTGGGGTTTAGGGCTCTTAGTAGGGAAGGAGGGAGTGAGGTACCCTCTATACTCCCTTACATTGTCCGGGGACCCAATTCCTTCTTTCCCTACTACGAACCAAGGGGTTGGTGTTGCTCTTGTAAGGTTTAGGGTTTAGGGTTTAGGGGTTTAGGGGTTTAGGGGTTTAGGGTTTAGGGTTTAGGGTTTAGGGTTCACGTATTCCCTTCCTCAGGCTTGCTAAGGGCCGATTCGAGCTTACTGAGAATAAGGGGGAACAAACTTTTGGCTTCAGCTTGGCCCTAAACCCAAAACTTCAGGGTCTCAGGTGCATCCCAGCAACCTCATTCCTTATGGGCTCTATGTCGCCTTAAACATGAGCCCTCAACCCTAAACCCTAAACCCTAAACCCTAAACCCTAAACCCTAAACCCTAAACCCTAAACCCTAAACCCTAAACCCTAAACCCTAAACCCTAAACCCTAAACCCCCAGCATTCGCCCCTGCGAGCCATACTTCCTGTGAAGAGAGCCCAGGATTTCATGGACGACGGCCTCACCAAGGCTTGCGGCCCCCAAAACTCAAAGGGGGGGGGGGGGGTTTGCGGCACTAGGGTTCAGGGTTTAGGGTTTTGGGCTTAGAGTTCCACAGGGAAGTGACCTATTTGGGGGGCGTACGCTATTAAGGGTACCTTGTTTGGGAGTCGATGCTATCGCCCCCCTATTATCGTCAACGCAAACAACACAAGGAAGATTCTTTGTTTTGAAAGGGCTTACCTTTGAGGATTCTCCTCTCCGTTGTGAATGTTCTTTTTGCCACCCCACCCCCCCAACCCCCACCCCCCCAACCCCCCCAAAAGTGCCAAGATTGTCTCCTTCCAACCATATATGGTCAGTGCTCAAAATGATGGGACGATAATTTGGAGAATCCACCGTAATTATATGTATAGTGATATACCTATACATCATACTACCCAATTCTACTGGAGAAGGGCCCTGCATTACCGCTTCAAGTAAAGAGGAGTTGTCAGCAGGACCACGTACTTACTTTTTTGGGAATGCGCCTTAACCCACGTTTTTTTTGGGAAGGGGGCGGAGCTTGAATTGTTGGGTGATACCTTCAAACCACAAATCGCAGTCTCAAGAGCAGTTAAACCCTATAAACCCCATAAACCCTATAAACCCTATAAACCCTATAAACCCTATAAACCCTATAAACCCTATAAACCCTATAAACCCTATAAACCCTATAAACCCTATAAACCCTATAAACCCTATAAACCCTAGAAACCCTTGAAACGCTAGAAACCCTATAAACCCTATACAGCCAAACCCTCTAAACCCTATAAACCCTATAAACACTATCAACCCTGCAAACCCTTTAAACCCTACAAACCCTATAAACCCTAAACACTAAGAGGCCAGCAGATTCAGCAGGCGGTGGCCCCAACATGCAACTGGCAGAGCCCTGTACATTGGGATGATCCCCCCTGAAACTAACAGTAGGGAACCCTAAACCCTAAACCCTACACCCTAAACCCTAAACCCTTAACCCTAAACCCTAAACCCTAACCGGCCTTAATAGAGATTATAGTACCCCCGGTTATAATCCCCATTAAGGACTGGAGAACATCCCAACCTATACACCCTAAACCCCTTAAGTCAGTGCTCTCCGACAAGCAGCGACTGCATTCTCAGGCAGAGTGGCCAACCAGCACCGGCAAAACTCTATGTCGAAACCGTGAGGGTTTAGGGTTTAGGGTTTAGGGTTTAGGGTTTAGGGTTTAGGGTTTAGGGTTTAGGGTTTAGGGTTTAGGGTTTAGCGTTTCGGCTTGGTTGTTCTCGATTCGCAGCCGTTTTCGGTACCCTAAGCACCACCACCGCAATAGCCTCAGGGACTCCCCCCCCCCTGTCAGAAAGCCCTGGTGAACCCGCGTTGAGGGTTTAGGGTTTAGGGTTGACCTCTTAAATCGCCTCTTCCGCCCGCTGACATGTTTGGCAGGTCTGGGCCCTGTATTGGGCGGCCACAGCCAGCGCCGGGACACCCGCCGCCAGCACGACCGCCGGAAGCACAACCGCCGCCGGCACGACCGCCGCCGGCACGACCGCCGCCGGCACAACTGCCTCGACCACTGTCAACACGGGGTCCACGCCCCGTTGCCTGAAACTAAGGGGTTCAGGGCACCCCAGTACCCTTAACTTTGCCCGAAAAGCCCGAAGCCCCTCTAGAGCCTTTCAAACTTGTAAGCACTAAAAGCCCTAGCCCTGTAGTTAAGAAATAAACCATGTGCGACCTAAGTCCTATACACCAACACCCTATGTGAACCCTCTAAGCACTAAACCCTATAAACCCTAAAACCTCTAAACTCTATAGACTCCAAAACGTATATATATATATATATATATATACATAAGGCCTGAACCCTGTCAAACCTAAACACTGTAGAACCTAAATCCCTAAACCAAATACCCGGAACCCGAGAGGTTTTAGGGGTTTCGGGTTTGGGCTTGGAAGTTTTGGGTTTCCTACGGTAATTCCACGGTGGTCATGGGGTATGTAACAAGATTACATGGTATAAAGGGGATGCAGGGTAGAATGGGATAAGAATAGGTATGAGGAACCCTAAACCCTAAACCCTAAACCCTAAACCCTAAACCCTAAACCCTAAACCCTAAACCCTAAACCCTAAACCCTAAACCCTAAACCCTAAACCCTAAACCCTAAACCCTAAACCCTAAACCCCCTAAAAACCCTAAACCCTAACCCCGAAACCCTAACCCCTAACCCCTAAACCCTAAACCCTAAACCCTAAACCCTAAACCCTAAACCCTAAACCCTAAACCCTAAACCCTAAACCCTAAACCCTAAACCCTAAACCCAAAGAAAAGGAAAGATGTAAAAAAAAGCTAAAAAGAGATTAGGGTTGAGATTGCTTGAGAGAGTTTAGGAAGTTGAGGCCTTAGGGCCGCCACGAGGCCTTTACACATGAGCCAGTTTAGGGTTTAGGGTTTAGGGTTTAGGGTTTAGGGTTTAGGGTTAGGGTTTCCAGTAGCCCCAGGTGGTTCTGTAGCTTTCCTATCCTGCATGACACGCAGGCGAAAGCTCTTCAAATGCCCCAAATCTGTCGTGGCCACTTGAGGTCCTTCCTTGCACCGACCACAACGACCACCACGACGACTCCAACCACAACCACCACCACGACGACAACCACTGTCGCAGGGCCCCTCGGTTGCTTATTATATATGTATATATGTATATTAGTTGTTTATATATATATACACACCTTTATTTATGTAGTTGTTTTTTTACATATATATATATTTATTTATGTATATCTTTATTTATTGTGCATTTGTTTACGTATGTATGTCTATCTATCGGTCTGCCTGTCGATATATATATATATATATATATATACATATATATATATACATACGTAGCATAGTGTGTACCACACCGCAAATCCTTATACATTATATATCGATAGTTTGTATGCATACTTATCAATCTATCTATATATATATATGTATATTTATGTATATATATATAGGTTTCAAGTGCTAAGCCAAAGCCAAACTCGAGCTGTTATTGGGGTAGGTATATTTTTGAAGCTCTGGGCCTGAATCCCTATATAACCCTATTGGCCCACACACATATACATATATACATATATATATGTATATAGATATGGATGGATGTATGTATACATACATATATATGTATGTACATATATATATATATGTATACAGATATATATATATATATATATATATGTTATTGTTGATAAGCCCCACCCCTATTACAGGAGATACCCTAAACCCTAAACCCTCAGCCCCCAAACCAAAACCCTAAACCCGAGCGATCCACGCCCTCCGGCCCAAGGACCACGAGAACGCCCTTCCCGGAAGTCAACTTGGCCTTGGAACGGCGTACGGCTACTGGGACCAGATAGGTTTAGGGCCTGTCAGGTTTAGGGTTTAGGGCCTTTAGGGTCGAAAAAAAGGGTTTAGGGCTTTAGTGTCTAGGGTTAGGGTCCAGGCCTCAGAGGTAGGAATACCTACTATAGTAAACGTGCGCTCTTTTACTTTGTAGGAGCTTCAAATACATTAACGGGAGAGAGAGAGAGGGAGCGAGAGAGAGAGAGAGAGAGAGAGCGATAGAGATATATGGTCACCCCCCTCCCCCTGACCTACCTCTCATGTATGTTCTCCTCTTTTGCAGATATATACTCTGCTCGAGACTTCTTGAAATCACCGCACGTACCGTTCGTTCTGGTATTAATCATAGGTATGCTTGCTTCTGCAATCTAAATATCTTATGTGCCATGTTTTCGATATACGATACTCAGCACGATTATTATGGCATTTACGGCACTTTCAGCCCTTGGATATGCCTAAAACCACAGTTTTCAGCTTGTTTCTTAAATAATCTTTATCCTCATAATTTAATTCAATGTGTCTATAATTGCTACATATTCCGTATGTGTTTTACTTTTTTTGGAGCCGGAATAGCCATTGATGCCAACACTGGACATGAATACTTGCCATTTTTCACTTTAACATCCCTATATCTTCAAGATCCCCACGTACGGACGTGCGCTTTATCATCTCTGCCATCTCGGAAGCACCGTGTAAAAACCAGAGTCTGCAGGAGCTGTCACCCCTCAAATGAACCCAAGCATTGCGTCCAGCATGGTGCCTGTGACAGTCCCGAGATTCCTAGTGTATACATTATCGAATGCATGTATTTTATGGGGGGGGGGGGTTTACGACAATAAGGGACCCTTAATCTAGACCTCCAAATAGTAGGAGCCTCTTATAATAAGGACCCCAATAAGGAACCCTAATTTTGGAAACCCCTCATAGTAAATAGCATAGGTAGCTCAAGTCTGGCCACATAATTAAGGCAATTAGCCCGTGCACGTGGTAGCCTTCCTTCTAAGAACTCGGGACTGAGCAGGTAACCTTGAACCTTTTTTGTTATTCAGCCCCCAAGATAATAGTTCAGTACCGGTAAAAGGCTTCATGTTGGTCATTTTTCCGTCAGCAAACAGACGCAGCGCAGACTCGATATCGACACGTTTAGGGATTCGGGTTTAGGGCTTCGGGCTCCGGGTTTAGGGTTTAGGCACACTGTGAGCAGAGAACATTTATTTATCTGTTGCCTTGCCATGTAGCTTTCTGTTTTTTTGTCCGCTACAGAAGAATCCCCTCAGGGCCCAGACCATGTCTTTGTGTAACTCAGAGAGGCGTGGCCCCGGTGGCGACTGGCAGAATTTTGAAGAGCGTATCTTCTAGGAATATTCTGGCTCGGAGCCAACCAAACCCTAAACCCTAAACCCTAAACCCTAAACCCTAAACCCTAAACCCTAAACCCTAAACCCTAAACCCTAAGCCCTAAGCCCTAAGCCCTAAGCCCTAAGCCCTAAGCCCTAAGCCCTAAACCCTAAACCCTAAGCCTAAGCCCTAAACCCTAAACCTTATATAAACCGTTGAGAAGCAATCAGCCGATGTGCTCCACGAGCCGAGGAAGCTTCTAGCGAGGCACCCACCTTCACCTCAATGCATGCCGTTGACGGCCTGTGGCCTGGCCCAAGAGACTTAGCGCTTAAGGTTTTTTAGGGTTTAGGTTTAGGGTTTAGGGTTCAGGGTTCAGGGTTTAGGGTTTCGGGTTCAGGGTTAGGGTTTAGGGTTTAGGGTTTAGGGTTTAGGGTTTAGGGTTTAGGGTTTAGGGTTTAGGGTTTAGGGTTTAGGGTTAGGAAACCTTTAACCTTTTTGGCCACATATAGACTCCTAGTACATATAACAAGTTGACCTTTTTCGGGCCAGGGTATTCAGCCCCGAATGAGAAGAGAGCCGATGCCTAGCTTTTCTTGGGAGGTTTAGGGTTTAGGCTTTAGGGGTTTGAAGGTTTAGGGGTTTGAAGGTTTAGGGTTTAGGGTTTAGGGTTGAGGGTTTAGGGGTTTGAAGGTTTGGGGTTTAGGGTTGGAGGTTTAGGGTTTAGGGGCTTGAAGGTCTAGGGTTTCGGATTTTTCGGTGGGGTTCGGGCTTGGGGTTGGGAGCAAAGAAAGAGCACATCTGTTGGGAGGGGGAGGGAGAGGGGGTTTAGGGATTTTGGAGGGTTTGGGGAGGGGGCCTCAGGATTGCAGGATGTGGTTGATTTAGAGGGCTTTTTCGGGTGTAGGTTTAAAAGGCTTAGGCTTCCTAGAAATGTAGAGCTCTCAGCAAACCCTAAACCCTAAACCCTAAACCCTAAACCCTAAACCCTAAACCCTAAACCCTAAACCCTAAACCCTAAACCCTAAACCCTAAACCCTAAACCCTAAACCCTAAACCCTACACCCGTAGGCTCTAAGGCAGCCAGGATCTCATGGTTCTCTCGGTGACTCGATAGGGAATATACCGATGTATTGTTCTGCGAAGGAGGTCCATAGCTCAAGGCCAGGATCTTGGGGGTTTCAAGGATCTTCGGGTTTAGGGTTTAGGATTTAGGGTTTAGGGTTTAGGGTTGAGGGTTTGGGGTTTAGGGTTTAGGGTTCAGGGTTTAGGGTGGATCTCCTACTTGAGTAGGTTCGTGGGTTGGTAGAAGTAGGGTTTATAAGAGCCCCCCCCCCAAAAAAAAAACATAAACAAAAACGGTAGGGTTAATAACCACTTGAGTTACCCTACTTACAAGCCAGTTCGAACTACCCGAGCCCCCCCAAACCCAAAAGAATGATGAGGGTTGAGGTTATCAACTTACGGTTTAGGGTTTGGGAGAACTACCCAAGCTCATCAAGAAGAGTCATGCGGATGCAGGTTTGCAACGCGCTGGAGCCCGGCTGCCGAGGTTCCGGCTGTTGCAGAAAGTTTAGGGTTGAGGAGGGTTTAGTTTGTGGGGGGTCCAAGGGTAGCTACATGGGCTTGGGTTTTGTAGGGCATATAAGGGGGCGGGGGGGGGGGGGGGGGGGGGGGGGTTAGGGTTTACAAGGGTCTAGGGTTTAGGGTTTAGAGCTTAGGGTTTGGGGTTTAGGATTTAGGGTGTAGTGTTTAGGGTTGAGGGGGTTGGGTAGAGAGCGCAGCCTGAACTCTGAAAGTGAGGGTTTAGGGTTTTGGAAACCTCGGGCCCTGAAATTAGGATGCTGCTCAGGCTGATAGGGCTAGCCCAAAGCCCTAAAACCGAGAAACATACAAGACCCAGAAGGCCAAAGCCCGAAGCCCAAAACCCAACAACCCAAAAAAGACCCAATAATGCCATACCCAAAAAACCTGACACCTCAAGCCCCCAAACCCTAAAGGTTTAGGGTATAGGGTTTAGGGCTAGGGTTTAGGGCTAAGGGTATAGGGTTTAGGGTTTAGGGCAAAGCGTAAACACCCAATACCGCTTTCACCAGGATGCGGTGCCCTGGCTTGCGGTCGAGCTGGATGCCATCTACGAGCTGTCCTTCATTGCCGCTTGGCAAGGGACTCCGGGGGGGGGGGGGGGGGGCTGAACCCTAAACCCTAAACCTAAACCCTAAACCCTTGAGGGCTGTTCTAGGCTATCTATGCGCCCTTTCTGCGTCTCAGCTATATGGTCTCTTCCTTGCAGTTTAGGGCACAAACAGGTGGATAGTTTAGATCAACACCCATCTGGGGCCGAAAAGTGAGACGACTTAATTAGACTCTGAGACATTGCGCAGCGACCTGGTGCCAAGGTCTGCGCCAGTAGGTCTGCAGCCAGACTTGTGTATCGAAGTTCCACAGAAGGGCCTCCTAAGCCCTAAAGCCCTAAAGCCCTAAACCCAAACCCTAAACCCCAAACCCTAAACCCCAAAACCTGAAACCTTAAACCCCTAAACCCTAAACCTTAAACCCTAAACCCGAAACCCCAAAGCCTTCGAAGCTTCCGCAGGTGGTTGTGTGGCAGGAGTTCCACCCCACCGGCTACGACATTCAAACCAAGGCACGGCGTGAGAGAAACATGGTTTAGGGTTTTAGGGTTTAGGATGCAGTCCCAAACCCTGAACCCTAAACCCGTAGTGGAGCTGCATTCCGAACTCTGATGGGGTCCGACTATGAGCGCAGACGCTACGGTAGCGTATCCTTTTCTTGATACTTCTTTTTTTGTATAATTTCCATTTATAGTTCCCCAAACAGGAACCGTTTGGGGTCCTCTCCTCAGAAAAAAAAAGTGTCACGCGCTTGGCCAGATGGGTGTCACGCGCTTCGGGCCTGTGGTCTCCCATGGTCTCCGATCATGAACACAATTGGGCCATTGGGGCCGGGCGGGTGTCATGCGCTCGCGCCTGCGGTCTCCCATGGTCTCCGACCATGAGCACAATTGGGGCCAATTGGGGCCGGGTGGGTGTCACGCGCTTCGGGCCTGTGATCTTCCATGGTCTCCGATCATGAGCACAATTGGGGCCAATTGGGGCCGGGTGGGTGTCACGCGCTTCGGGCCTGTAATCCGATCATGAGCCAGGCGGGTGTCACGCGCTCGAGCCTGTGGTCGCGGGCGGGTGTCACTGAGAGGGTTTCACGCGCTTGGATTCGTGGTCTCCCGTGGTCTCCGACCATGAGCGCAATGGGGCCAGACGGGTGTCGCGCGGTTCGGGTCCGTGGTGGCGCGAGCGCAATCTCGGCGGGTGTCACGCGGTCCGGGTTCATGGTCTCCCGTGGTCCGATCATGGGGCTGGCGGGCGTCACGCGGCCCGGCTCCGTGATCTTCAATGTCTCCGATCATGAGCGACAGGGGTTGGGAGGGTGTCGCGCTTGGGTCCGTGGATTTCCGTGGTCTCCGATCATGAGCGCAGTGGGGCTGGGCGGGTGTCACGCTGTTCGGGTCCGTGGTTTCCCATGGACTCCGATCATGAGCAACAAGCTTGGGAGGGTGTCACGCGCTTGGTTCGCGGTTTCCCGGCTTCTCCCATCGTGAGCCCAATGGGGCTGATCCGGCTCCGTGGTCTCCCATGATCTCTGATCATGAGCGACAGGGGTTGAGAGGGTGTCACGCGCTTGGATTCGTGGTCTCGCATGGTCTCCTATCATGCGCGGTTGTGAGTGGCAGGGGTTGGAGGGTGTCACGCGCTTGATGGTCTCCCATGGATAATCGGAGGGTGTCACGCGCTTGGGTCCGTGGTCTCCCATGGTCTCTGAGCAGGCTGGGCGGGCGTCACGCGGTCCGGTCGCGGTCTGTCACGGTGTCCGATCATGAGCGACAGGGGTTGAGAGGGTGTCACGCGCTTGGGTTCGTGGTCTCCCAACATCTCCGATCATGAGCGCAATGGGGCCGCCGTGGTGAGCTACAGGCATTGGGAGGGTGTTCGCACGTGTGGGCCCGCGGTCTCCCACGGTCTCCGATCATGAGCGCAACGGGGCAGGCGGGTGTCACGCGGTCCGGGTCCGTGGTCTCCCGTGATCTCCGATCATGAGCGACAGGGGTTGAGAGGGTGTCACGCGCTTGGATTCGTGGTCTCCCATGAGCGCAATGGGGCCGGGCGGGTGTCACGCGGTTCGGGCCCGTGGTGAGCGACCTCGCCCGCGCTTTAATGCGTTCAGCTGTTTTTGCCTTCGAAAAAGTGCACAAAGAGAGCACGGCGTTGCAAATGTGGAAAGCAAGACCAAATGCGTTTTTTAGGCCTGGCAAAATGCATTCGGGCAGCGCTTGGACATCCATGTCTACTGGTATTTTACGACCAACATTTCCCCGACATGCATCTGAGGGCATTCCACATGCATTTTTCGTCGCCCGAAAACGCATTTGACACTGGTTTCCTATCATGTTGCAATCTTGGGTTCTGCCGCTGAAATTTCATGTCTTTCTGCGCGTAAGAACATCTATAAATAGGATTTGAACGCGTTTAGAACCATAATCACCGTTTCGCAAAATTCCCGAAAAGGGGCCTAAAATCAGAAGCAACATGCCCAGATGCATTTTTGCGAGGCAGGCAAAATGCATTCGCGCAGCTTGCTCCTTCCAAAACCACAATAAAAAACTCGCTTGATAGCTGACTTTTGTGTCAAAGACAGAGGCCCCGTGCGGAAGAAACCAAAGTCCGAATGCATTTTTTGCCTGTGCCCAAATGCATTCAGCTGTTTTCGCTTTGAGAAAGTGCAGAAAGAGCACGCGGCATTGCACATGTGGAAAGCAAGACCAAATGCGTTGTTCAGGCCTGGCAAAATGCATTCGGCAGCATCTGGTCTTCCATTCTATTCGGTTGGCTCCATTACAGCATGAAAAACAAACGAAAACAACAAAAATAATAGATTGGTGTTTTACGACCAACGTCTACCCGACATGCATTTCTAGGGCATTCCAAATGCATTTTTCGTCGCCCGAAGAATGCATTTGGCACTGGTTTCCTATCATGTTTAGTCTTGGTTTCTGCTGGCTCATGACGTATTCGATTCTTCTGATGTGTTTTCTGTGCATAAAAGCTGTAGGATTTGAAAAACGTGTTTAGAACAATGCTCGACATTTTGCAGGAGTACCGAAACAGACCCAGAATCAGGAAGAACATGCTCAGGTGCATTTTTCAAAGTGGGCAGAATGCATTCGCGCAGCTTGCTCCTTCCACAACCACAATAACATTGAGTTAACCGCTGATCTTTCGTCGTAAAGACAAGCTGCGTACAAAAGAGGCGAATGCACAACTGCATTTTTCGCGCGTGCCTAAATGCACTCAGCTGTTTTCGCCTTTGAAAAAGTACAGAAAGAGAGAGCATGGCGTTGCGTGTAGAAAGCAAGACCAAACGCATTTTTCAGGCTTAGCAAAATGCATGTAGGCAGCGCTTGGACATCCATGCCAATCCATCGTTTGGATTGGGAAAGGGTTGTTCCGACCCCTGGCAGCTCCAAAGAGAAGCCTGAAACCCATGCCTCCATACTGAGCCCAATTTTTCTGATTGTAAACTCGGCCTGCCGAATTCTACGCGTCGCGTTATTGCTTCATGCCGCTTTCCCTTGATCTGCAATCTTACTGTTTGGGGTCTTCGCCGGCATAGTCTAATACTGATTACTCATTTTAGTATTTGCTTTCATGATAGGGTTGATTATTATGTAACTTTCTATTCTGCATTATTTAGCATTGTTTATTTAGTGCTTTCGTTTTTGTTTTTACCTTGTGTATATATGTATACAGATTTATGCAGTTTTGTTGCCCAGGTGGTTTCCTTACAAAGCCCACTGGGCAAACAAGGGACCCCCTCCTTCTTATTCCTAGCTTATTGGAAAACCTCGAGGACCATCCATACATGTATATAGATATGCAGATATAGATAGATATAGGTAGATATTTGCCTCATATAGTCCCTATTTACCTAAGTAGTCCATCCCCCTAGACCCTAAACCCCTAAACCCACCCCTAACTCCTAAACTCCTAGAATCCTAAAGCCGTAGACCCCCTAAACTCCTAATTGAAGGCTGTAACATCCGCAAGCCAACCTAAACCCCTAACCCCTAAACCCTAAACGCTGAGACCCCCTAGACCCCCTAGACCCTAAACCCAAAACCTTAAAACCCTAAACCCTAAACCCCCCTAAACCCCCCTAAACCCCCCTAAACCCCCCTACACCCCGTAGACCCTAAGCCCAAAACCCTAAACCCTAAACCCCTAGAGCCCCAAACCCTAAACCCAAAACCTTAAACCCTAAACCCTAAACTTCTAGAGCCCCAAACCCTAAACCCCCTATACCCTAAACCCTAAACCCTAAACCCCAAACCCTAAACCCTAAACCCCCAAAACCCTGGCGTCACCACACGCGCGCCAGGACAGCAGCGGCACCTGGGTGACCCTGGCATCCCAAGTGGGCCGCGCTGGTGCTGTGAAGACCGACCTGCAAGGCCGAGGGTTTAGGGTTTAGGGTTTAGGGTTTAGGGTTTAGGGTTTAGGGTTTAGGGTTTAGGGTTTAGGGTTTAGGGTTTAGGGTTTAGGGTTTAGGGTTTAGGGTTTAGGGTTTAGGGTGTAGGGTTTAGGGTTTAGGGTTTCGGGTTAATCCTTGAGTTCTGAGCCTGATATAATATACCCTAAGCCCTAAACTCCCAACCAATCCTCAGCCCTGTAGCCTCGACCCCTTGCCAATCGAAAGTCTGACAGAACCTATACTGCAAACCCTTAACCCCAAAACCCCAAACCCCAAACCCCAAACCCTAAACCCTATAAACCCTAAACTTGCACCGCAACCCTTAATCCCCAAAACTCTGAAACCCTAAACCTTGCCGCCCCAAACTCGAGTTTCTTGTTGCAACCCCCTAAACCCTAAACCCTAAACCCTAAACCCTAAACCCTAAACCCTAAACCCTAAACCTCGCGGCAGGCTCGGTGAGTTGGTTGCGCTTGCTCTGCCACGGCGGCTCGGAGATTCGCATTTTCGAGCCCGCCGACTCAAGATGATCATAGGGGCTTAGGGGTTTTGGGGGTTTAGGGTTTAGGGTTTAGGGTTTAGGGTTTAGGGTTTAGGGTTTAGGGTTTGGGGGTTTAGGGGTTTGGGGGTTTCGGGGTTTAGGGAGTTTAGGTGTAGGTTTAGGGTTTAAGATTTAGGGTTTAGGGTTAGGGTTTAGGGATTAGGGTGTAGGGTTTAGGGGTTTAGGGGTTTAGGGGTTTAGGGGTTTAGGGGTTTAGGGGTTTAGGGGTTTAGGGGTTTAGGGGTTTAGGGGTTCAGGGTTTGGGTTAAGGGGTTTAGAGGTTTTGGGGTTTAGGGGTTGAGGTGTGTTGAGGGGTTGAGGGGTTGAGGTCTTAGGGTTATGGGGTCCCAAGCTGCCCTTGCCTCCTACCTCAAGTTACGTCCGACAAGGCTGAAGCGAAGACTCTTAAGGGTTGCCAGGTAAACCCTAAACCCCAAACCCCAAACCCCAAACCTTAAACCCTACACCTTAAACCCCAAAGTCTAGTTGGGAGCCTTTCTTAAAACATCAGTCCCTCAGCCGTATCTCTTCAAGAACATCGGGGTCTCTGACGCTGAGGGTGCTAGAAAGGGAGGAGATGGGGGGAGGCTTGTGCTAAGTTTTTTAAGTTTGGGTCTAGGCTGTCGGGTTAAGGGTTTAGAGCTTAATATCCCGCCTGCACCACGTAAGCCAAGTAAGAAGACGAGGTTCCAAGTCTACGGAACGCTGGATACGCAGACCACCACCACGACGGAGCCGGTCGAGACAGGCCTGGCGCGTGGCGGTCGCCTTTGTGTGGTTTAGGGTTCAGGGTCTAGAGTTTAGGGTTTAGGGCTACTAGGACCCAGAAGTAGGGTAGGCCCCTTTGTAACACAAAAAGGGCACCCTCTTGATTCCTAGGTTACTCTTGGGTCGAAGGGGCGTTTGGTGAAGAGACCCCTTTACAGGGTGTTTTGGCAGTTCGGCAGCTCTCAGGGGGTTTAGGGGTTTAGGGTTTAGGGTTTAGGTGGTGGTAGCTGCAAAAGGCACGTCGACCACAACCACGACACCCTTCGATGGCCTCAACCTCGCGCAGGGGAAGCCAGTGCCACCCAGCTAGAGTTTAGGGTTCAGGGTTTAGGGCCTAGGGTTTAGGGTTTGTTTCTCGATCCCTGGCTGTATAGCATGAAGGAGCTGTTATGATAAAAGGGGTGCTTTGGGAGCCTTTGAGCCTTTGGCAAATCTCGACAGACAGCTTAGGGTTTAGGGTTTAGGGTTTAGGGTTTAGGGCTTAGGGCTTAGCGCTTAGGGCTTAGGGTTTAGGGCTCAGGGCTTAGGGTCGAGGGTTAGGGTGAGGGTTTGGGGTTTAGGGTTTAGGGTTTAGGGTTTAGGGCTTAGGGCTTAGGGCTTAGGGCTTAGGGCTTAGGGCTTAGGGCTTAGGGCTTAGGGTCGAGGGTTTAGGGTGAGGGTTTAGGGTGTTGTTCTCCCGCCAAGGCTTGCATCTTCTTTCCGCTCGCCTACGGAGTTTGCTTATCGCGCGGTTGCTTCTTGAATGCAGGTCAATGCCGTTTCCAGTGATAGTGTTTAAGTTTTTCTCCCCCCCTCCCCCGTGCATGCAGCACCGAAACCGCAAACCCGAAACGCCAAAACCCCAAACCCCTAAACTCTAAACACCCAAACCCCAAGTCCTAACTATATATTCCGACTTTAGGATGGAATCTTGGAGACGCGCTGGGCGTCCGCAGCCTCGCCCGAGCAGTGGATCTGGGTGGACTTGTGCCTTGTCCTCTCGGTGTAGGGTTTAGGGTTCAGGGTTCAGGGTTGAGGGTTTAGGGCTTAGGGCTTAGGGCTTAGGGTACTATTTGCTTCGGAACCTTTGTCCTCTCTGGTGGACTTGTTTTGTGGAGGTGTGACATTTTCCCCCTACTGTTGTGAGTTGAAGTGTTTCCTCCCACTCTGTCTGTGTCTGTGTCTGTGTGTGTGTGTGTGTGCATGTGTGCATGTGTGCATGTGTGCATGTGTGCATGTGTGCATGTGTGCATGTGTGCATGTGTGCATGTGTGCATGTGTGCATGTGTGTATGTGTGTGTGTGTATGTGAGTACGTGTGTGTGTGTGTGTGGACCACGACCAACATCTTTCTTACTGTGAAGGTTGTGAACCCCTTCGTCGTGTAATCGTCGTTTTGCTAACTTCATGCCTTAACTAAGATTGGGGCTTTCCAGATGTATCCAGGCAAGCAAACTTCTTCTTTACTATCCCTAAACCCTAAACCCTAAACCCTAAACCCTAAACCCTAATAAACCCTAATAAACCCTAATAAACCCTAATAAACCCTAATAAACCCTAAACCCTAAACCCTAAACCCTAAACCCTAAACCCTAAACCCTAAACCCTAAACCCTAAACCCTAAACCCTAAACCCTAAACCCTAAACCCTAAACCCTAAACCCAAATGATGGCTTCTTGAAAAATCTTGGTGGAAGCCCTTGAGCTGCCTTAAGGCTGGGAGCCTACGATCTCACCTCGGTGCTGGTTCTCTGGGGCCCAGACTTTCCAGGCTTGGCCATCAGCTTTGTCCCATGGTTTAGGGTTTAGGGTTTAGGGTTTAGGGTTTGGGTTTAGCCCTTGGGAGGATCCAAAAAATTGGTCCCCTTAAGGGTTCCTAAGACTGACCCAATCGTAGTAGAGGGTACTACTTGGGGGTTCTATTTAAGGATCCTCCCACATCTCTGGGTTGAGCCCTGAATCCCATGTCGCTGTACCAGGTGAGAACCCCCCAACCCCCCCCCCTTTTTTTTGTAGCTGGCTTTTCTTGAGAACCTACAAGTGGCCGCGGATTTTGCACGACAAGTTTAGGGTTTAGGGTGTAGGGTTTAGGGTTTAGGTGTCTCGGTGCTTTTTTTGGTCTTCAGGCCAGTACTCCATCCAAACGGCCCCCAACGGTATCGACTGGACGACCGCCGCTGTGGACTCCCGTCCCAAAGTTGGTTTAGGGTTTAGGGTTTAGGGTTTAGGGTTTAGGGTTTAGGGTTTAGGGTGGCTCCGGCTGGCTTAGTGAGGCTTAGTAGGTATGGCTTCAACCCTAAAACCCTAAACCCTACAACCCTAAGCAACCCTAAACCCCTAAACCCCCAAACCCCCAAACCCCCAAACCCTAAACCCCTAAACCCCTGAACCCCTAAACCCTAAACCCTAATCCCTAAACGTATCCAGCCCGGGGCCTTACTCCCAAAAGCCGAGACCTTGCACCCAGCATTGGGGCTTCTCCACTGTAGCTGCGCACTCACATGGCTTTGCGATTCGGATCCGACCCTAAACCCTAAACCCTAAACCCTAAACCCTAAACCCTAAACCCTCAACCTTAAACCCTAAACCCTAAACCCTAAACCCTAAACCCTAAACCCTAAACCCTAAACCACTCTTTCATATATAGTATAAATGTTCATGACTTTGTGGGCAAGGTCATATATTTAGCGGGCAAGGTCATATATTTAGTGGGCAAGGTTACATATTTAGCGGGCAAGGTCATGTATTTAGCGGGCAAGGTCAGATAAATTGTGGGCAAGGTCCATTGGCTAAAAATGACCTTGCCCACTAAAAGGGCGACCTTGCCCACTAAATATATTCTTGCCCGCTAAACATATGACCTTGCCCGCCAAATATATAACCTTGCCCGCTAAAGCCAGGTCATATATGTAGCGGGCAAGGTCATATATTTAGTGGGCAAAGTCATATATTTAGTGGGCAAGGTCATATATTTAGCGGCAGGTCATATATTAAGCGGGCACCCCCCCCACGCCCGGCCCCCCCCCCCCCCCCACCCCACCCCCCCCCCCCCCCCCCCCACCCCCCCCCCCCCCCCCCCCCCCCACCCCCCCCCCCCCCCCCCACCCCCCCCCCCCCACACCCCCCCCCCACCCCCCCCCCCCCACCCCCCCCCCCACCCCCGCCTCAGGCAAGTCCCCGTTCTCCGCCCGGAAAAGAGGAGTTACTTTTCGGTCATTTTCAATGAGTTCTAGGATTTCGGGTTCAAGGAAAAGGAGGGTTAAATTGCAGGGACGAGTGTCAGGGTTCAATTGGGGCCAAGAGTTTGGGTTGCGTGTGAAACTGTTCATTCTCTTCATGGTATGGGGTTCTCTGGGTGGGTGGGTACTTTTCAAACGCTTGAAAAGTTGCTAACCTAGTGAATGCTTGAACTTTGAGATGCTGAACCCTAAACCCTAAACCCTAAGCCCTAAACCCTAAACCCTAAACGGCGAGGGGCAGAGTCGGTCTCCAGAGAGCCGAGCAATGGCTCAGAGAAGGGCCAGGTAATATAGGGGTCGGAGTAGTTCCTAAAAGTTTTCCCTTATGGTCCCTACATAATTATACTAAACCCTAAACCCTAAACGCTAAACCCTAAAAGACTAGACTAACCCCCAAAACCCTGTTCTAATGATTTAGGCGCGCAGCGCCTATAGTAGGGTGGTAGAAAGACCCGGTGTCTTGCAGCTTAGAAAGGAGTGCTGCGAGGAACGCTTAGCTTGTAAACAATGAGGAGTAAAAAGGAGCTCCGAGGCAACCCGAAAGGGCGGCAAACGCTGCAAACGCGCCCGCCGCGCGATCCCAAGGGGGCAGGAGGAGGGGGACTACGTTGCTGACGCTGGGCGTCGGACCCTTGGGATCGCCGGCGGGCGAGGCGGCGGCGGCCCCGGATCAGGACGACGAGGGTGAGCGGCTGAGACGTGCTGCCCCTGCAGTCCCGGCCCCTATAACGGGTAAAGATCCTGGAGCTGCGTTGCTTTCCTCTACTCGCCGTTGCCAGGGCTTGAGTCTGATCCGGGAGGCTGAGTTAAAGAATTCGAATGGCGAGAACTTGGTCGAGATGCGCGCTCGCCTGGCCGAGCTAATTAAAGAGCGCCAACGCCTTTTGAAACAGTATCGCGTGTGGCGATCGAAGGGCGGCGGCGCTGAATTTGTGCTGCGTCACCGCCTGCACTGGGTTGCGCGTAAATTCGCACGGACGACTGAGGCAGAGCGGAACGCCACGTGGTTCTCTGCCAAAGGTCGCGCACGGCGTGGTCCGCCGTGCCCGCGTGCGTGTGCCGAATCGGCCACGTGTGCGGGAGGGACGAAATGCCCCTTGTGCAGAAGCGCGGCGAAGGATTTGGGCGAAGGCAGTGGCTTTCATCAGACTCTTGCTGGCCAGAGGGCCTTTTCAAGCAAGCAGTCGCTTCGCGCCTTGCAACACCCTGTGACGGCAATGTTCCTCCCGATTTTCCTTTGCCGGAATTCGGCCATCGCAATGTCCGCAAGACTTGCACGCGGCCGGGGTGCTTAGGAGGGCGTGGCTGCAAGGGAGGGCGGCTGCGCAGGCGCCGACTGGATGATGCCATCGTGCGGCCGACCCGTCCCTGCAGGAAGATTTTATTGGTCCAGTAGACCTACCTAAGCCTTTGCGGGCACCGGACCCCGGAGTCGCTGCGGAAGGGGCTCCGAACAGTGACTCCGAGGACGACCGGCCTATGCCTGCGGATCCCAGGGTCAAGGCTCGAGACGATTTGCGTCTGCGCTTCGATAGAGCTCTGCTCGACCACGCGCTTAATTGGCCTGGCGCAGAAGGAAGCGGGGGTCAGGCGTGAGGATCCCTTAGAAGCGTGGGTTGAAGACACTTGCCCCGTAACAGTCCCATACCGATAGGAAAACTATACAGTAGTCCAAGGGTTCAGTAGTCGTATTTATAGATATTGCCAGCGGCACCTGAACAGAAGATTTCCGGATCCTCCGCCTGCTAAAGGGATAGTAGCAACATGGGTTTCGGCGGACGTAAGACGGTACCGGAGGTAGTGATGGTGCATACTGTGTGTAGCTTAACTTGCAATATTCCAAGCGTCATTGGGACCCTTTTCCTGCGAATTCGTTTTCTGCGTGGCGCATTTCGGAATTCGTTTCTGCACGACCTTTTTGCGGCGATGCGGCCGGGTCTGCCCATAGTCCTATAGACTGAACACATTTTATCAAGTGTTCCTTTCAGGTTCGTATTTCTTGGAAGCAGCCACGTACCGTGACTTTGCAAAAGACGTTATGCCGAAGAGCCCTGCGTCTACTGGAATGGAGTTGTGAGAAATGCTTAAGGGGCGATGCAAGGGAACGCGCTTCATGGGCAGCCCGCATGCACGGAATTCGTTGGCTCGGCCCTGTGAATATGCGCGTGCACGTTTTGCCTTGGCTTCGGCCTTGGCCGTTTTTGCCTTTGGGCAACGTATTTGCATGCCTTGCGTCTAGAATTCGCTTCGATCAGAGCATGGGCCGCCCGAGCATGCTCTCAATCTGGCCGGGCGGCCCCAGCCAATGTCAAACGACAGCAGCAAGCCACGATGTGAGGGAGTGCGTGCATCGGGCAATCAGGACAGACACGAGCATCGGAAAGCAAGGCGCAGGCAGGTGAAGAACACGCGCACGTCAGCGTTCCTTTGCTTGGCTGTGTCGTTGGCTTAGAGAAGGGGTTGGGGGGGGGGGGTGGGTATTCTTTTGTGGCCGCGCGTTCCATGCGCCCCGCGAACGTGGGGTTCCTATTCGACTAAACTGTGTCCGGTCAGAGACGTGTCCTGCCCTCCTCACAGGGTTTGGGTCGTATGCCGTCGTGCGCGCCCAAACCTTCAAAGTTCGTGCGCGACACATTCTCGAGCATTTTCAGGGACCAACAAGCGGTTTTTGATAGCCCCAGGGGCAGTACCAGGCCAAGACTTGACCAAACCCTACATCCCAAACCCTAGCACCCAAGCCTGACTAGATGGGCCCTGGGGATATTTTTAAGCTTTCTGTTATTGGGTTTAAGAGAATCATGTTTCGGAATATTTGTCAGAGGGTTTTCAGGGCCATCCTAGCTGAACCTTAAACCTAAACCCTAAACCCTAAACCCTAAAACCTAAACCCTAAACCCTGAACCCTGAACCCTCAACCCTAGACCCTAAACCCTAAACCCTAAACCCTAAACCTTAAACCCTAAACCCTAAACCCTAAACCCTAAACCCTATACCCTATACCCTAAACCCTAAACCCTAAACCCTAAGCCCTAAGCCCTAAACCCTAACACCACACCAAGGAGACCGGCATGGCGGGCCCCGTCCGCACCACCTTGGAGTCTGTCACAGGCCAAGCGCCCCCAAAGCCTTAGGGTTCAGGGTTTAGGGTTTATTAGGGTTTAGGGTTTAGGATTTAGGGTTTAGGGTTTAGGGCTCAGGGCTTAGGGTTTAGGGTTTAGGGTTTCTGAACTTTGCTTACTCAGCCAATACTTGTACTTTAAGCTTTTTGGGTTTCCTTCTCTTTGATAGGAATATTGAAGCTTAACCTATACTTGTCCTATGGTTATTGGAGAAGTAAGTTTGGGTCAGAACCCCCTAAACTTCATGTACCAGGCCATTGTACTTGGGGGTTTCCCCAAGCAGGGTGCCCCCGTTTGGTTAGGGGTATAGGGTTTAGGGGTTTGGGGTTTGGGGTTTGGGGTTTAGGGTTTAGGGTTTGGTTCCTACAAGAAGGATGGTTATAGCATATTCAGGATACCCGATTTTGGGCAATGCCCACATTGCATCCGCCCTCGAAGCAGGTTTCGAGGAAACCCAGCGAATGATCCGCATATCCCTTCATTAAGAAATGTGCCTTATCTTGATGTTTTCAGGGTGGCGGGTTAGGGTTTAGGGCTTAAACTCCCGAAGCCGCAAGCCCAGAACCCCAGGCCTGAACCCGAAACCCTAAACCCCAAACCCTAACCCCTAAACCCTAAACCTATGTACATTCTTCAAAGAAGTTTTGTTGTGCCCTCGGGGCGCCGATATCACGCCCGGGCCCCTGGTTCAGGAGATTATTGTGATGGTCTCATCCGAGCCGTAAAGGGAGAAAAGTCCCCTTCCCCTTCCCCAATTGCACAGCAAGTGCACAACAAGTCTAGAAATAGCTCAGAATACGTCTCACAAACAGTCTTCACCCTCAAAGCATCTCTCTTTTTTTGCAGGGTGATGTACCAGATGTAATGATGCCTGCAATTCGAGACATTCGGCAAGGGGACAGTTCCAGCAACCAGCACTTGCGGTTGAGATAAACCCTAGACCTAAACCCTAAACCCCAAACCCTAAACCCTAAACCCTAAACCCCTAAACCCCAAAGCCCCCAACCCTCAAATCCCCATTGCTCCCTGGTGCAGGACAATGGATCCGGATCCTTTGCCACGGGAACACAGGCCTTCTAACTTTGCTTTACAACCTATGTAAACATGTAGGGTTTAGCCATGTTCACCTCACAAATACTGTAGCTCAGGCTAGTTGTAGGGATGTCCAGATGTGCCTTCATCTACTTGATACCTTTTAGAAAAAGACTGACCACCTCCGAACCTGCGAATGGGGTTTTCAGGGTTCAGGGTTTAGTGGTTAAGGTTTCGGGGTTTGGATCCCTTGCTCGGCAGACGCAACCGGAAGAGTTCTTGAAAGGCTGTTGATTTGAGGAGTCGAATGATGAACCGATGAACCACTCTGGCAGAGACAGCACATTTGGAAGTTCTTCATGGAAACGCCCCAAAAGAATCTGGGTTTTGGAGTGCTATACTTTGTATACTGTTTTTTTTGGTTCTGGGTTCCTACTATAGCTACGTATATCTCAAAAGTATATACTCTTTTTCCAAGGTCTATTTCCAAAGTAGGGCAACTACTCCCGGATGACTACTATTTGCTTAAGAACTCCTCCCTCCCCCCCAAAAAAAAACAAAAAACTGTATATATATATATATATATTTATATAATAGTAATAATAGTAAGGACGATTTTTTTGTTTTTGTTTGGTGGGGGGGTGGGGGGGGTGGGGGGGCTCTTAAGCAAACAGTAGATGGGCCTTCTGACTAGGTTGCAGCATCGACGAGCTGCGCATCTTCGGGGCAGATCCCAGCCGCCAGTCAAGTCATTTCAGGCGCAGGGCCTTCGGGGGATTTAGTACCCTAAACCGTATACACCCTAAATCCCTAAATCCCTAAATCCCTAAACCCTAAACCCTAAATCCTAATGCTCAATGAATATACCCTAAACTCAAAGTCCCTGATTTCGAGATGCCCCTCCGGTGGATAGCAATGCTGGCAATCTTCATAGCAACTCTGGAAGACACGCCTCACACGCTGCGCCCCAAACCTAGACCTGACACCAAGTAGAGAAGTGTGCATATAATGTACACAATATTATATATATATATATATACATGGGTCTATATGTGTATATTCATTTGCAGACTTGCAGATGTGTATATATATATATATGTGTATACACATATACATATGTATTTACACATATACATATATATATATATATATATAGAAACAGATAAGGCTACCTCACCACGACGACCGTCACCACGTCGGCGGCGAGCTCAGGTCCAACATTTTCCTCTTTTTTTTTGGGGGGGGGGGGGGGGTGGGGTGATGGATTCAGGATTTCGGGTTTAGGGTTTGAGGCCCTAGGGTTGGGTTATTCCCAAGCTTCCCAAACACATCTCGAATGTGGGTTCTCGTTCGTCACGAGGGGGGTGTGTGGGGTGGAGTCCCAGGGGGCCTGTGGAGGTAAGTTTGAAGCAGAGGGGTCGACCCTAACTTGGGCAATTGCCGCTTGCTCGTAACCCTACAAATGAGTGTCGATGAAGATTCAAGTAGGGGGTGGGGGGGGGTCTAGGGTTTAGGGTTTAGGGGTGCGCCCATGATCTGGGTCTCTCAGCAGGAGCCTCGTCAAGCGCGACCAGCTCGACGAGCTCGACGCCCACCACCAGCGCAGGAGAGACCACGAGCACCGCGACGACAACCACCGGTGCCTTGCGCGGCAAAGGGTTTAGGGTTTAGGGTTCAGGGTTTAGGGTTTAGGCCCCCCTGAGCCCTCAGCCTTCTGCCGGTATCTTGGATCGTGAGTGTTTTCGATGTGGCTTCTAAACCCAAAACTCTCAACCAGTCCTATGCCTAAGCCCTAAACCCTAAAGCCTCAAGCCTAAACCCTAAACCCTAAACCCTAAACCCTAAAGCCTAAAGCCTAAAGCCTAAAGCCTAAAGCCTAAACCCTAAACCCTAAACCCTAAACCCTAAACCCTAAACCCTAAACCCTAAACCCCCTAAACCCTAAACCTCCACATCCGAGGCTCCCGGCCTGCTGTCAACCTGGCCCTGCATCAGCCGGCCCTGGCCTCCACAGGACCCATGTGTGTTGTTTAAAGGGTTTAGTCTTAGGGTTTAGGGTTAGGGTTTAGGGTTTAGGGTTTAGGGTTTAGGGTTTAGGGTTTAGGGTTTAGGGTTTAGGGTTTAGGGTTTAGGGTTTAGGGTTTAGGGTTTAGGGTTTAGGGTTTAGGGTTAGGGCTTGGGGCTAAGGGTTCAGGCTTTGGGGTTTACGGTTTGGAGTTTAGGGTTTAGGGTTGAGGTTAAGGGGTCTAGGCTCTAGGGTTGCTTGTTCAGGGCCCTTTTTTGAAGGACTTCCCTCGTAGAGGTTGCAGGGTCTAGGGCTTCGGGTTTAAGATCGAGACTTTCGTTTTTTTTTGAGGGTTTAGGCCATTTTTTTTTTCTGAACTTCGTCCTTGTGTGAGCTTTGATGGTTTAGTGTTTAGGGTTAGGGGCACTTTTTCAAGGGACTTCTTTGTGAACAGGTTAAGGGACTTAGTCTTTCAGAGATTCAGGAGCTTCGCCTGAGAGTTTAGGACCATGCTTTTTGCAGGGCTCCCGTTGTAGAGGTTAAGGGGTTTAGGCTTACGGTTCATGGTTTAGGGTTTAGGGTTCGGGCTGTCTTTAAAGGCATCTTTGTGTACAGATTGAGGTGTTTAGGGTTCGGGGGAGTCTGATGCCGTTAGATGTCTGTGCGTGTCTACATACACATACACATACATATACATATACTTATACCCCTGCACATACATGTACATGTACTTTTACATACATATATATATATATATATCAAGTATTTTCTATTTATGTTTATGTCCATAATATGTCTATGTCTTTTCTTCTATTTATCTAGCATGCTTTTGATGCCTGGGAAGGGCGTCGTCACAACGCCCAGTGGGCTCCTTGATCTCTTTCACTGTCACCTGCAACCGTGCGCATTCCGTGCGGTAGGCTGGCGCCGCACGATATTGGAGCGTTCTGCAGCAGTAGCATTAGGCTGTCGGTTTCCGTGGTGGCGCGATGTGAGGAGCTTGATGTTGAGGAAAGTTGAACCAGCCAGACCTCCCCCCAATCTTGGGCTAAACCCTAAACCGCAAACCCTAAACCCTAAACCCCTAAACCCCTAAACCCTAAACCCTAAACCCCTAAACCCTCAACCCTAAACCCTAAAGCCTAAACCCTAAACCCCAAACCCTAAACCCTAAACCGGGCGCACAGGACTCCATCAGACGCGCGCCGTGGATGGCTCCCTGACAACCCAGCTGCTTGGACCGCCACTAGGGTGTCGAACCCGAGAGTCCCCAAGGGTTTAGGGTTGAGGGTTTAGGGTTTAGGGTCTAATTAGGGGTTAGCGGTTAGGGTTTAGGTTTAGGGTTTAGGGGCCAGATTTTCACTGGCAGTGTTGTGCGAGGGGAATTTTTGAATGAGGTCCTCTCTTACAGGCCTGCAGGAGGGGATGCAAGGCGCCCATACTTCTCCGATTCGCCATGAAGGACTAGTTTTTTCAGGTATCCCGTCCCTGAAACCAAAACGAGCAACCTCCTGACCCATTCCTGCATGAAGTCACGAGGACCCCTTCAAACCTTACCTTGAGCAACCTTTATTGCCCATCACGAAGAGAAGAGTGCCTCCATTCTTGGTAACCCTAAACCCTAAACCCTAAACCCAAACCCCGGACCCTAAACCCGAAACCCTAAACCCGAAACCCTAAACCCTAAACCCTAAACCCTAAGCCCTAAACCCTAAACCCTAAACCCGAATTTGAGGTGCAAGGTCTTGCTCGTTCTCATGAGGAAGTCACATAGGAGTTCTTTGGGAAGATGCTTTTTTGGGTACTCTAATTTCTAAGAAACAGCTACAACATGACGATATGTTTTCGGTACTATATTTCCCAAGAAACAGCTTAAATTGCAATTTTTGCTGGGGTTCCAAGCCTCGGACTTCACCAGTACAACCCGTTAAGGGAGTCTGTCAGGGCCCGAGTTTTCTAGGACCCTTGTTCCTAGCCTCATTTCAAGGAAAGAGTGGGGCAGTGTAGGGGGTATATAAGGGTTCCCCAATCAAGGGCCCATCTTGAGGGACCATGTATCTACGCTTAAGAACTTCCTTCCCTACCAAGAACAATTAAGGGCCGCACGTGGTTTCGGATTCAGGGCTTTAGGGCGCTAAGGGCTTGTAATCTTCGGGCAACGAAAATCTAGATGACAAAGACCCCTCTTTTTGAGGGACTCCGTTCGAGATTGTTCTTAAAAGAGCAAGGGCGCATGTAATTTCGACCAACCCCAAAAGGTGAGCCAAAAAGCTGCCTACTGCTGCACTGTCTGGAGTCTAGGTAGGCCGCGGGGATATGTTTATAAACCTAAACCCAAACCCCAAACCCCAAACCAAAAACCCTAAACCCTAAACCCTAAACCGCAGCACTATATTCTCCCTTGTCGATATAAGAGCCTTTTATTTTGGAATGTTTGTCAGCAGGGTTTACGGGCCATCCTAGCAATAGTACCTGTTGCTCCCCTTTCTTCGTGCCAGGCTGCCTTATCATTACCCCCTCAACCGGATAGGATTTGCTCTTGCTCCCTAAACCCTAAACCCTAAACCCTAAACCCTAAACCCTAAACCCTAAACCCTAAACCCTGAACCCTGAACCCTGAACCCTGACCCTAAACCCTAAACCCTAAACCCTAAACCCTAAACCCTAAACCCTAAACCCTAAACCCTAAACCCTAAACCCTAAACCCTAAACCCTAAACCCTAAACCCAAGTTGCTGTGGTCGAGCCTAGATGTATAAAGTCTGAAGGTGGTCTTCCTTGTCGGGAGACCAGACACCCTGGCTTTGGGTGGACCTTCGCGGACCTTTGGACCACGAGAGAGAGTTTTGGGACATCGGGGTTGAGGGTATAGGGCTTAGGGTTTAGCAGGTAGCGGGTTTAGGTGTATCTGTGTGGCCCTACGACGTCTGATGCAAGGAGGTTCAGGGTAGAAGTGGCCCAAACTCAATTTTCTTAAAATCCCTAAATGCGCCTCAAACTTGGGATGTCCCCCTTATACGAATAGTCCTTAATGGGGGTTATAGTACTCCCCAGTATCATCCCTGCTTTGGACTACTAGCATAAGGGGAACATCCCAACCCTAAACCCTGAACCCCAGTAAGGGTGGTTGAAAATCTATTGGCGCGGGGGGGGGGGGGGGGGGGGGGGGGGCGGGGGGCGAGGTACATATTCCCTATCACATGCCCAATAAACCCTTAAGCCTAAACCCTACACCCTAGACCCTAAGTTAGTATGTAGGGACCATGTTTGACGATGATATTTCATCATGTAAGATCATGCAATATACTTGAATTTTCTGTAATTTGAACGACAGGGCGTGATTCTAATCTTGGCGGGTTCAGTCGGCAACAAATTTTGATTCAGGACTGTAATGAAATATAGCCGACTTTAAAGTATAATGTAACACAATCATTACATCTATGCTGAGAGAGAGAGAGAGAGAGAAAGAGCAAGACATATACATAAACAAATTCCTATCTGTCTATCTATCTAGCTATCTACCTTTACTTGCGAACACACAGAGACATATATACATATATATATATATATGTACACACACACATATATATATGTATGTATGTATATATGTGTATATGTATATATAGATTCACACACACCCATGCAGACATGTGTATATATATATATGTATGCATGTATACATATGTGCACGAGCACATATAACATGAACTTGCACATATATACATATATATATATGTATTTATAGATAGATACATGTACATGTATGTACGTGTTGTTGGCTTAGAGAATTCCAGCATTGTTCGGGTCGCTTCTGGGCGTCCGGGTATCCCTCTAAGGACGCCATGACGTCTCCGAAGTGATCATCTCCTGGGGTGCTGAGTTCCCTGCAGAGTTCCGCATAGAGGCGGCCCGGGTTCGTGAGGGTTTGGGGTTTAGGGTGTAGGGTGTAGGGTTTAAGGTTTGGGGTTTAGGGTTTAGGAGCAGACTTTGTGAGCAAGCTCAGAATGCTTGGAGAGACAGGGCCTGGTTTTACGAGTTCCTCTTCAGATCCCCGGCGAGAGATCCCACGACCCCGAGAGGTACCATTTCCGTTTTAGGGGTGGGTTCACTTGTAAACAACCCTGCTGACTGCATTCCTTATTCCTTGGTTGCAGCCTGCACCTTAAACCCTCATTGCAGGAAGCGGGGCCTAAACCCCAAAGCCGAAACCCTAAACCCTAAATCCTAACCCAGTTTGGTGTTGCCAGGGACAGGGCTGAGGGTGCTCAACAACGAGAGCTTCGGCAGAGATGCTGTAGCTGACCTGTGCACACAACCCCAAGAATGCGCACGCGTGTACATCTGTCTATGTACATATATATATATACATATGTATACATATACACGATATGTTTTCCGATTAAGATATGTGTGTATATTTATGCACATACATTCATACATATGTTCATACATAAATCTCCCTCTCTCTCTATATATATATATATACACATGGCTGGATATCAACACAAGATGTATTCATACTTTATCTCTCTATATGTATATACCTACGTTGCGTAGACGTATTCATAATACGTATACATACATTCTACATATATACGTCTCTCTCTCTCTCTCTCTATATATATATATGTATTTATATTGATGTTGAACTTATATTTCTATACATAGATGCATCTTCATACATGCACACCCGTGCCTCGTGAACAGCCCTGTGAATCTCCCAGGCGGGTTACAGCGCAGCCGCCTGGTCCCCAGTAGCCACGGCCGCAGGGCAGGCGAACAGCGAGGCGCCGTCTGTTTGGCTTGGAGCTGCCGGCTTGTAGGAGTTCAGGAGTTAGGGGCTTAATCCCAAACCCGAACCCTAAACCCTAAACCCTCTACGTGGCTGATGGGGTTGGGTTGCATGGGCAGAGTGTAGCTATTCAGGCTCAGGGCTTGGGGTTGAGGAGCTACGTTTGCTGCCAACCCATACGGGAGTTGCGAGATAAGGGGGTACTTACGGGGTTCCCATAAGAATGATGATCGTATTTTGGTATATACTTTGAGTAGTACCCAGATCAAGAGACTCTAAACCCTAAACCCTAAACCCTTAACCCTAAACCCGCAACCCTACGTGCAGGCTCTCGGAGTTTGGGAGTTTGCGCAAACGTGGTGAACAAAAGCAGGAGGGCCACGCATCTCGCAGCACTCTGCGAGATCCAAGCCCTTTGAAACCTCAAAGCAGGTTCAGGGGGTTCAGGGGTTTTGGGGTTTTAGGGTTTAGGTTTTAGGGTTTAGGGTTTTAGGGTTTTGGGGTTTAGGGTTGTTGGGGGTTTTGGGCCAGTTTAGGGGGATTTAGGGCAGTGTCGGGGTTTTAGGGCAGTTTTGGGGGTCTATAAGGCAGTTGAGGGTCATCCTACCCCCTGCCCAAAACTGCGCAGCCGCTCGTGCGGCGTTGCAGGTGCGGGTGGTCTTCAACCCAGTGAACCTCCAGTTCCTGCGCATCCTCTGTCCCTCGGGACAGAAGAGCTGAGGGGGGGTTTGGGGTTTAGGGTAACCCTAAACCCTAAACCCTAAACCCTAAACCCTAAACCCTAAACCCTAAACCCTCGGTGCGGGGCTGTTCGATTGTTGGTCAACTATGCTCCTCACCTCCAAGTTTTTTGTCCGATGTCGCGCCCCCGTCTCCTGGGCCTGGTCCGTGCCTAAACCCTAAACCCGAAACCCGAAACCCTAAACCCTCAACCCTAAACCCTCAACCCTCAACCCTACCACCCTAAACCTTAAACCCTCAACCCTCAACCCTCAACCCTAAACCCTAAACCCTAAACCCTAAACCCTAAACCCTAAACACCCTGAACCGCCGGACCGAGGTACCAACCTGGGGTCCTCCAGCAGGTGCAGCATCCGGGAATTGGAGGCCGAGGGGAGGGGGGGGGGGGGGGGGGGGCGGTGAGGGAGTTTAGGGTTTAGGGTTTAGGGTTTAGGGTTTAGGGTTTCGGGTTTCGGGTTTAGGGTTTAGGGTCCTCTTGGCTTGAGCAACTTAAGCTGGGGTGCTGGAGGCGTTTGGGCGGTTGGGGTTTTGTGATTAGTTTAGGAGTCAGGGATTTGAAGATGATTTGGGTTTCAAGTTTCAAGAGTCTTGGTCATAATGCATGTTGTATGGCGGGGATAGCCACAGGCCAGCGCCGGCAAGAAGCCCGTTTAGGGGGCATGGGAGGTGCTACTGATCAACACGCAAGTCTAGGAATCTCGGCACGCGGTGGCTTTTTCCAGTATCGCAGAAACCCTATTTTCCGCTCACCCCAAACAGTGCCGCCCAAACCCTGCAGCCCGCATGCTTCTCACGAAGGGAAGCAGCTGCCACAACCCGGACACATTATCAAGCGCAACCCAACCTGCGCACTTTAAGACCCCCAAACCCTAGGCCCTATAAACCCTATAGACCCCAAACCTTGCAGATCCCGAAAGCTCCATGAAGCCCTACAAACCCATAAACAGTCCTCCTCCTGCCCTTTCTAAGGGTAGTTCCAGTACAGGGCCCTTAATATGGTCCCTTACCCCCCGTAAAGGGTTCTGAAATATGGGCCCTTGAGTCGTCTAGGGTAGGTAAGGGGTACCCTTTTTAGGGCCCATACCAAGGGAGCATGCAAACCCGAAACCCTAAACTCTAAGCCCTAGACCCTAAGGCCCTAGGACTTCAACCCTCAGACCCTAAACCCTGAGACCCTAAGACCCTAACACCCTAAGACCCCAAGACCCTAAACCCGACCTTAAGACCCTCAGACCCTAATGCCCTAAGACCCGAAGGCCCCAAGACCCTAAGACCCTAAGACTAAACCCTAAACCCTAAACCCTAAACCCTAAACCATATAACCCTAAATGTTAAACACGAATTTGGGAATCGGACCCCCATTGTTCAGCACGAATTTGGGAATTTGATCCATTTCGGCCCTCCTGACCCCTTGACCCCCCCCATTGTTCAGCACGAATTTGGGAATTTGATCCATTTTGGCCCCTCTGACCCCTCTGACCCCCCATTGTTCAGCACGAATTTGGGAATTTGATCCATTTTGGCCCCTCTGACCCCGATTGTTCAGCATTTGGGAATTTGATCCATTTTGGCCTTTCTGACCCCTTTGACCCCCAGGTGTTTAGGGCTTCAGGGCCTCAAGGCTGGTGTTTAGGGTTTCAAGGCCTCATGGCCTGGTAGGGTTTTGGGGTTTCAAGGCTTCACGGCCTGGTGTTTAGGGTTTCGGGGCCTCAAGGCCTGGTGTTTAGGGTTTCAAGGCCTCACAGCCTGGTGTTTAGGGTTTCAGGGCCTCAAGGCCTGGTGTTTAGGGTTTCACGGACTCACGGCCTGGCGTTTAGGGTTTCAGGGCCTCAAGGCCTGGCGTTTAGGGTTTCAGGGCCTCAAGGCCTGGTGTTTAGGGTTTCAGGGTGTCCAGGCCTGGTGTCTAGGGTTTCAAGGCCTCACTGCCTGGTGTTCAAGGTTTCAGGGTCTCAAGGCCTGCTGTTGAGGGTTTCAAGGCTCACGGCCTGGTGTTTAGGGTTGCAGGGCCTCAAGGCCTGGTGTTGAGGGTTTCAAGGCCTCACCTGGTGTTTAGGGTTTCAGGGCCTCAAGGCCTGGTGTTTGGGGTTTCAAGGCCTCACGGCCTGGCGTTTAGGGCTTCAGGGCCTCAAGGCCTGGTGTTTAGGGTTTCAAGGCCTCACGGCCTGGTGTTTAGGGTTTCAGGGCCTCAAGGCCTGGTGTTTAGGGTGTTTAGGGTTTCAGGGCCTCAAGGCCTGGTGTTTAGGGTGTTTAGGGTTTCAGGGCCTCAAGGCCTGGTTGGTGTTTAGGGTTTCAAGGCCTCACGGCCTGGTGTTTGGGGTTTCAAGGCCTCAAGGCCTGGCGTGGCTTGTGTTAAGTGCTTGGTACTACGCCGTAATTGTTTTGTGTATTGGTGCATCCGAAGAGAAAATAATTAACCTTGTATTTTCTGAATGTTATGGGATTCTTTTGGCGGGTGGGTTTTTTTCCGTTACCTACACACACTGCGGGCCTAGTAAATGCTCGAACTTGAGATGCTGAACCCTAAGCCCTAAACCCTAAACCCTAAACCCTCAACCCTAAACCCTAAACCCTAAACCCTAAACCCTAAACCCTAAACCCTAAACCCTAAATCCTAAACCCTAAACCCTAAACCCTAAACCCTAAACCCTAAACCCTAAACCCTAAACCCTAACCATAAACCCTGACCCTAAACCCTAAACCCTAAACCCCAAACCCCAAACCCTAAACCCTAAACCCTCAACCCTGAGACCCTTGGGAGGTGTTCAACTCTGGCCCACCCCAGTCGACCACGACGCAGGCTACAGTGCCCCAGCTTGCAAGGCTCCACCCAGGGGCCCCCCCAACACGCCTCGTAAACCCTGGTCCCTAGTTTAGGGCTTAGGGTTTAGGGTTTAGGGTTTAGGGTTTAGGGTTTCTCATATAGTTCTTCGTAGAACGTGGCATATTCTAGAACCGCCTAAACCAGGTCAGCTCAGAATGCGGACGCAATAGCAACTACCCGAAATTGCCCATAATCCTAAACCCTAGAATAACCTGCATGACTTTAAATCAGGAAGAGGCACGTGAATTATTGCGCATTTGCGTGTTTTTAAGGTGCGAGGATATCCCAAATAAACCCCCACAGGCCGTTGGCCTAGGCTTCGATTGTACCCTCTAAACCCCAAACCGTAAACCCTAAACCCTCAACCCTCCACACCCTTTCGGGCCTTAGGGTGTTTGGCTTGAGGTTGCAAGCACTGCCGGATCAACCGCCACCACCACCATCACCACCACCATGGAGGCCACCACCAGCCACACGGCCTGGGTTGGAAGTTATGAACTAATGTGTGGGGTTTAGGGTTTGGGGTTTGGGGTTTAGAATTTAGGCCTAAGGGCTCAGGGCTTGGGGCTTAGGGTTTTTAACCCTCCTTAAAGCCCTAAACCCTAAACCACAGGAAGCTTGAAACTTCTATTTGTCCAGGTTATGGTAACATTCAATAGGGGCCCAACAAACCACATAAACATAAGGATCCTACAAACAGGGCAGGGTTTTTCGAAATCCCCCGTTTTCCCCAATAGTAGGGTCCTTATGTTAAATGGAGGGGCCTTAAGAATTAGAACATGGTTTTGGAGCTATGATGGTATATTTACAAAGGGGCCCTAAGGGAATACTACTAGTAATTCTTCCGACCCCTTATATACTTGGCCCTTAAAGGGGTTCCTATACAGTAGCTTCAGGGCCCAAGTATATACTATATGGGTGGTTGTCAAAATTATAGTCTTAGTGCCTTTTTGGATCACCCCAAAACCATATAGGTACACAAAACCCTGTTCTAAGTATTCCGACCCCTCTTGTGGTTTTTCGGGCGGGCCCCTATTCAACCCAGGCGAGGGCCAGCCGTCCACGACGACCTCAATCTCCACAGATGCCGGTCCTTGGGCTTCTAGGGTTTAGGGTTTAGGGTTCAGGGTTTAGGGTTTAGGGTTTAGGGTTTTGACCTGCCCTGGGTTCAGGGGCTTCCCCCCTGGTCCTTAGTAGGGAGTGAGGGAAGTAGGGCCCTACATAGACCCTTTAAGGGATTCTATAGGGCACACTTATTCCCTCATTCCCTACTAAGGGCCAGCCCGGTGTTGTGGTTTAGGGTGGAGGGTTGAGGGTTCTACGGTCTTGGGCGCCTTCCCGCGCAGCGGCCGAAGATCTCAAGATCATGTGGCAACCCTAAACCCTAAACCCTAAACCCTGAACCCTAAACCCATAAACCCTAAACCCTAAACCCTGAACCCTGAACCCTAAACCCTAAACCCTAAAACCCCGGAACCCTGAACCCCTAAACAAGCCATGCTCGGAGACGCGAAGGTTCCCAGAATGCTTCCGCGACGACCACTACCATCACCACCACCCTTGCTCCGAATGTTGCGCTCAGGAGAGGTTGCAACTCAGGGTTCAGGGTTTAGGGTTTAGGGTTTAGGGTTTGGGGTTTAGGGTTAGGGTTTGGGGTTTGGGGTTTAGGGTTTAGGGTTTGGGGTTTAGGGTTTACGGCTTATGGGTCAAGCTCCCAGAGCCTTTGGGGGCAGTCGCCTCATGAGAGCCCCGGAAGATTTACTTTAAGTCGGCGCGAATTAATCGGAGCAAGCAGCCTCTGATAACCTTGAACTCTTACTTTCTTACCCTGTCAGCCTCACATGCTGTTTTTAATAATTTTAATACATCCTGAAGTCCTTAGAGTTTGTTGGACCCTGCCTTTTCTTTCAGGCGTACGGGATATGCTTCAGAAAGCAACCGCGCTAAATCGCTTCCCCCTTGTATTAAACGCCCCCCCTGATTATAAAAACACCTTCGGGAAAATCCTGCCGAAACCGACCCCACCTTTTAAGCCCCTTTTTCCGACTTGTGGGGGGGCGTTCAGAGCCTCAAAAACTTTCAAACCAATCTAAACCCTATCCCAAGAGATGGCACATGGATAAACAGATCCCCCTAATACCAAAAACATATTTCGAGTTTCAGTTTCTATTTGGGGGGGGGGAGGGGGGAGGGGGGCCCCCGTTTAACAATAGGGGGAAGGGATTACAGCTAGACTAAGTAGAAGCTTAAGTAAGTAGAAGCTTGGAATTCAGTAAACTTTGTCATAAGGATGCTATGTCTGTAGACAAGTCAATAATTCTTACATTGTAGATGCTGCGCGCGAATAAGGTAAGTATCGTACTTAAGAAACTGCACGAAGAATAGTACTATTTCAGTTAAACTTAGTTTGTCAAGCTTTTCAAGCCTCTTCAAGCTTCTTGAGCCATCCGTAATTGCACTTTACATGTAGAGATGTTTAGGGTTGAGGGTTTCGGGTGCTAGTGTCTTTCGCTTTCACTAGGAGTCGTACAAAATTGCTCATTAAAAGCATTCAGAAATAAAGCGCACTGTACCCTCCTCCTGTCATTCTCTTCTTTCGGGCTTGGGAAACCTCAGCCGTAAAGCCATAAGCCCTTAAACCCAAAACCCCGAAACCCTTAAACCCTTAACCCTAACCCTTGTCCCTAAACCTTAAAACCCTAAACCCTAAACCTAAACCCTAAACCCTAAACCCTAAACCCTAAACCCTGAACCCTAAACCCTAAACCCTAAACCCTAACCCTAAACCCTAAACCCTAAACCCTTACAGGAAACCCATCCGCGCCTCGTCACAGCGGTCCCCTACGGAGTACGCAGCGCGGGCCAACGATGGCGACGAGGGCACGCAATGGGCTTCGGCGGGGAGCCCCACGGAGCCTCAGTGCCTGTCAGGGTTTAGGGTTTAGGGCTTAGGGGTTTAGGGGTTTAGGGGTGTAGGGGTTTTGGGGTTTTGGGGTTTTGGGGTTTGGGGGTTTTGGGGTTTAGGGGTTTTGGGGTTTTGGGATTTTGGGGTTTTGGGGTTTTTGGGTTTTGGGTTTTTGGGGTTTGGGGGTTGTGGGGTTGTGGGGTTTTGGGGTTTTGGGGGTTTGGGGTTCGGGCTTAATTAGGGTCTTAGGGGCTTCGGGTTTAGGGTTTTCGTGGAGGGCTGGAAGTTGCCAAGATCTGTGGGTTCTCGCTAAACCTTAAACCCTAAACCCTAAACCCTAAACCCTAAAAGGTTTTCTTGTGAGGAGTGGATCCTGATCGACCTCCTGGGCAGCTACGTCTTGCAAGGGGGAGTCGTCCTGTGGGGCGACGCGGTGCCGGCCAGTTACGGCTTGGAGGCCTGAATTGCCAAGCAAGTTCGTTTAGGGTCGGTTTGTCTCCATGCCGCCCTTAGAACCCTAAACCCTAAACCCCTGAACCAAGTAGGGAACCAGTTGCGACGGATTGCGACAGGCGGCGCTCTTATGTGTTCAACCGGAACTTTTGCGAGCTACGATATTGTATTAGTATGTTGTTATTGTACCATATTTCATGGTTATACGTATTGAAGAAGAGCTGCTAAGAATAGAGTTGGTTTAATTATACACTCCATATATATAACAAGCATTGTATATCTGCTAATATTCTTTCTACGATTCCTCGACAAAGCGAATATTCATCCAGTCAGGTTATAAGTATTACATGAGCAAGGGTCAAAACTATGGTAATTGCGGTTTTATCTAGGTTAGACATTTGCATGCTGAAGCGCCAAAACGACCCTGTAAAGGGACGGGGAACATTGAAGTGCGACACCCCTTAAAACCCTCGCAAAGCGGCGGGGGACACTGAAAAGCGAACCCGCCCCCCCCATTGCGCGACCTAGGCCCGTAAAATTCCGTATGTGACTTTTTCACACAGTTATTAGTTTCATGTATTATGCACCTACTCTGCTTAGATAGATAGTCAGCGTGTGTAGGGACATAGAGTGACTGTGGGAGCCACAAGTGGCCCGCATGCTGCCGGCTCGTTTGCTGAAGAAGGATGTTTGAAGACCTACATGATTATCTGCGAGCATATATACACACATGTATATATACATATATACATATATACATATCCACATATATACATATATACATATATACATATATACATATATACATATATACATATACACATATATACATATATACATATATACATATATACATATATACATATATACATATATACATATATACATATATACATATATACATATATACATATATACATATATACATATATACATATATACATATATACATATATACATATACATACAAATATGTCCAGGAACCTATGTTTACGTTTTGCTCAAAAGGTCTTTCTTTCTTTGGGACAGTCTTCGTTCCTATGAAGCTGTGCAGGTCAGCTCAGATGGCGTGAACTGGGCGCCAGTGTGTCTTGGCACTTGGACCCCCCTAACTCCGTCCCAGTAGGGTGATCAGTAGGGGGTAGCTGTAATTCACACAGTTTTGGATGCATCTAACCCTACTGATAGCTCTGCAACAAGACTGCAGTGAAAAGGAAACAGCTTTGGTGAGATGCCCTGAACCCTAAACCCGAAACCCCTAAACCCTAAACCCTAAACCCTAAACCCTAAACCCTAATCCCTAAACCCTAAGCCCTAAACCCTAAACCCTAAACCCTAAACCCTAAGGTTCGACGAGATGGCGCCATCTGAAGATTACCGCAACTACAACGACCTGCCCAGCATCATCGGGCAGTGGCTGAAGGTGACATGCCACAATGAAGGCACTGCCGGATGCAGCATGAAGGACCAGGGCTGACAACACAGGGTTGAGGGTTTAGGGTTTAGGGTTTAGTGTTTAGGGTTTAGAGTTTATGCCATCCCGGAGATTGCTTGGACCCGAAACCCTAAACCCTAAGCCTAAACCCTAAACCCTAAACCCTATACCCTAAGCCCTAAGGCCCAAGCCCCAAGCCCGAAGCCCGAACGTCTCTTTTTCCCACCCAAGTCCGAAGTTCGATCGTTTAGCTCGGGTCTACATGGTTTGATACGAGTCCCTTCAGTGACTACATAGGTGACCTGCCGTATGGCCATTTTTGGGACAAGCAGTTTCAACATCTACCACATGAGCCTACACGTAGTGACCCTCATGCGTTTCTTCTCTGTGCAGGAGGTTCAGGTGCACGGAATCCGGGCGGCTGACGTGACCCTGGCAGAGCTCGAGCAGCTGGCACAGAGGTCTGTGAATAATTTTGGGTTTAGGGTTTCGGTCTAGGACTAAGATTCCCTTCTTCCACTCCTTTGTGAAGGGGTCGGTTCCCTTTCTTTTAAGGTTTTAGGGTTTAGGATTCCCGAGGTCAATGGGGAACCTCGAGGGGCAATCTGACTTCCGGATTTCTTTGGTCTCTTTCAATTTCTGAATCCTCCTCGTAGACTTGTTGACACTTCTCCTGCGCTGCCCGCTGATGTGCGGCCAGGATGTTTGCACGGAATTGAACCCAGAGCTCCCTAAACCTTAACCCTGGAGGCCATTCTAAAATCTTGCAGTTTTAAGCCTTCAGCAAGTCGGGGCACCTACCCCCACTCCCTACCTCGTCCTGTAGTACTTACTTACTGCCACTGGTGCTATTCATATTTGCATGGCATTCCTGCTTGTACTTGTTTGGCTACTTCTGCTGCTGCTTGTCCTCTTACCCGCGCTACTAGCGCTTTGACCACATTTGCCTCAGTGGATACCATGATCAGCCGCAAGGCTACTACTGATGTTTGCTTCTCCTACTGCTGGCTCTCATCAAAACTGCTGGAATGCAAAGCGGTGTTGCCTGCACTGTTGTGTTTGCGTAGTTGCCAACTGCATGAGTTATCCTCCAATGGCAGATGGGCAAGACGTGTTCATTCCAGTTCTTATCATGGTTTTAAGCTGTTGTTTGTCAGAGAATTCGCTGCTCATGTCACGCATTCTTACATCCACAGCCTGCAGGACGTCCTCTGCAAGCAGGGTCTTCCCATTGTCATGCTTGCTCTTCATGCTTCTGAACCTGCTGAATGCATAGGCATCTCAGGCTACTCCGAGCTATAGTCAAATCATCGAGTACATAGGTTTTGTTCCAGGACTCTCATAAGGTTGTTTTGATTGTAGCTCACTTGTGGCCATGCCTGAATGTTTGTGGCGGGCCTGGCCTGTTGCATGTGTTCTGCCTAGCTGGCCAAAGTAGTTGCTGGCGTCGCCAGCCGTTGCCAGAAAAGCGCATCCACAGCAATGGCAGCCAAAGGTTATTGCGAAAAGTGCATGCCCTGGCTGCCAGCTTCACGTGCGCGGATGGAGTCCACTGTTTCAGCCAGGAAGCTTCTTGCTTCCGGCATGTCTACGAGGCTGTATGAAGGCAGCCGTAGCTCGTTACTTGAAGCCTCAACTCTTATGGGTTGTGGTTTTTGTACAGTTGGTGCTTGCACCCGCAGATGCTCCCCCATTCGGGGAGAACTGTATTATGGGGTTTGCAACGACACACTCTGGCGTTCTGTACAGACACCTCGCCTCCGTGAGACGTGCAGGTCAGCATGCTCGCAGAGGTGATTTTCATGTTATGCCACCTGTCTGTCGTAGCTTTTGAAAGTTCATTTTCGTGACCGGCGCTTTATGCTGACAAGAGGGCATGAAAGTTATGTGTCGCACCGCGTTCCCCAGCAGAGACTGGGATCCATGCCTTTCGCATTGTCACGAATGTGACGACATGCGACCTGGTGCATTCCAGAGTGTGCAACTACCGCCAATCGAGAAACCTGTCATCCGTGGTCTGTAAGGGGTAATCCTGCAGGTTTCGGTGGTGTTTTGTTCTAGAGGGAGGAGGACCCAAAGAAACAACCAAAGATTTCATTTTATTGTTCTGAGCCTCGACAAATCCTAGAGCCAAGAGTAACCTAGGAACTAAAAGGGTGCCCTTTTTGGTTTAAAGGAACTGATACATCGCAAGGACGAAAGCTTCGACCCACCTGGAGGAAAAAACAAGAACCCAAGGATGCTCCCTTTTTTTCGCGGAGCAGTGGAGTAGGCGCGGGGTGCGTTTTGCATGGCCTGCGTGGCGGAGTAACTTTTCAGTGAAACAATCCCTGAACCCTAAACCCTAACCCCTAAACCCTAAATAAGCTACGGCGGAGTCTGCGATCTGGGTGTCGGGGTGCTCGGAGTCGAAGGGGAGGCGAAGTTTACGAGGGTGGCAAGGGCTTAATGGCGGCTGAAGCGAGTGGGTCGAACTTTCGTCCTGCCGCAGTAAGAGAAACGTAAACCCTTAGAAACAGAGAGCCAGGGCCTACTCTGGATCCTAGAACCCGTAGCAGCTCCTGGGATACCTTCCCAAGAAGTGCTTCTTCCGAGTGTCGTCGGTCGAAGCCTGAGCCGACTGTCGGGTGTTACGGGGTTTTAGGGTTTAGGCTTTAGGGTTTAGGGCTTTTCAGGGGGCTGTTGAGGGGGCTGTTGAGGGCTTTGCTTAGTTGCAGGGCACGGGGCTCAGGGCTTAAGAGTTTAAACTTTAAACCCGAACCCTAAACCCTAAGCTTTAAACCCTAAACTTTAAACCCTAAACCCTGAACCCTGAACCCTGAACCCCAAACCCCAAACCCCAAACCCTAAGCCCTAAACCCTAAACCCTAAATCCTAAACCCTAAACCCTAAACCCTAAAACCCAAACCCTGAACCCTAAACCCTAAACCCTGGTTTGAAATGCGCAGTGGAGGTGCACGGCTCGTCACAGAAACTGGCGTTTGAAGATCAGCATGGCCCCTGGGAGGTCAGAGTGTGCCGTGTGTATGTGTATAGGGTTTAGGGTTTAGGGTTTAGGGTTTAGGGTTTAGGGTTTAGGGTTTAGGGTTTAGGGTTTAGGGTTTAGGGTTTAGGGTTTAGGGTTTAGGGTTGATATAGGGGTCGGAGTACTTACAAATGGTATTCCCTTCTGGTCCCTATATAGATATACTATAATAACCCCCAAAACCCTGTTTTCATTAGGGAGGTCAGAGTGTGCTCTGTCTCTCTTTGTTTGTGTGTGTGTGTGTGTGTGTGTTTGTGTGTGTGTGTGTGTTTGTGTGTGTGTGTGTGTGTGTGTGTGTGTGTTTGTGTGTGTGTGTGTGTGTTGTGTGTTTGTGTGTTTGTGTGTTGTGTGTTGTGTGTTTGTGTGTTTGTGTGTTTGTGTGTTTGTGTGTTTGTGTGTTTGTGTGTTTGTGTGTTTGTGTGTTTGTGTGTTTGTGTGTTTGTGTGTTTGTGTGTTTGTGTGTTTGTGTGTTTGTGTGTTTGTGTGTTTGGGTGTTTGTGTGTTTGTGTGTTTGTGTGTTTGTGTGTTTGTGTGTTTGTGTGTTTGTGTGTTTGTGTGTTTGTGTGTTTGTGTGTTTGTGTGTGTGTGTTTTGCTCGATCTCCCAGTGGGCCGCTTATTCCCTTTTTGGGTGCTGCTAGGCTTCTTTCGAAACTTAATTACTAAAAGCTACAATTTTCTTGAAGAACCCCCCCCCCGCCCAACAAATTGTCTTTCTTACAAGGGTGGTATAGGGATCGTTGTGTTGTTGATGTTTTGTGGGTTTGGGGGGCTTGGGGACTTGGGGTTTAGGGGGTTTCGTGTTTTTAGGGCTTCAGGGCTTTTGGGGTTTCAGGGTTTCGGTGGTGTGGGTTCAGGGTTTAAGCGTTTCAGGGTTTTAGGGTTTAGGGTTTCAGGGTTTTAGGGTTGCAGGGTTTTAGGGTTTTAGGGTTTCAGGGTTTCAGGTTTTTGTTGGGTTTCAGGGTCATGTTTCTAGGTCGCTGGGGAATTAGTTCTTTATTGCGCTCTTGCACGTGCCAGATGCTCAGTCGATGTACAAAGACCTAAGCAGCTTCTGCAACGACGATTGCTTGAACTGGGGAAGCTGTAGACTTGTAGCATTGACCAACGCAGCCTAAACTCCCAAACCCTACCTCATGAACCCAAAACCTATTTTCACGGGTTGCCCAGGACTGTTTTCAGGAGGTTTGTGCTCATAGCTTCCAAAAGAGTAGGTTTAAGGGTCGAACCCTCATAACAGGGGCGCGCGGCTCGGCTTGGGAAGGTTTACAGTTTGAGGTTACCCCAACACCCCCACACAGAAACCCTAAACGCTCAACCCGAAACACTCAAGCCTAAACCCTAAACCCTAAACCTTAAACCCTAATCAAATCCTAAACCCTAAACCCTGAACCCTGAACCCTAAACCCTAAACCCTAAACCCTAAACCCTAAACCCTAAACCCTAAACCCTAAACCCTAAACCCTAAACCCTAAACCCTAAACCCCAAACCAATGACACCAAGGTGTTTCCAGCAGCTGCCGCGGGTTGCAGCGCTCATCAGGCATCGGAAAGTCTGCCATCTCAAAGCTTCTTGCGCCTTTAAGGTGTAGGGTGGGTTTAGGGTTTAGGGTTTAGGGTTTAGGGTTTAGGGTTTAGGGTTTAGGGTTTTGGGTTTAGGGTTTAGGGTTTAGGGTGAAGGATTTAGGGTTTGGGGCATTTAGGGTTTCCAGTTTAGGGTTCAGGGTAGAGGGTCTAGGGTTTAGGGGCAGGGCTTGTGCATGGATGCACTTTTGAGGGATAACCCGGGGCTTAGAACGCAATTGCTTGGCCGCTCCACTTTCAGTATTCTCGCGAGATCGCGTAGGGTTCAGGGTGTAGGGGTTTAGGGGTTCGGTGGGTACTTTTCCGATGCTTGAAAAGCTGCTAAACTAGCGAATGCTTGGACTTGATGCTGCCGGGCTTACGGGCTAAGGGGCCTAAGACTCTGAACCTACTTGAAGGTTCAGTTCTAACTATAGCTGCCCTACTTATCACCCGGTTAAAAGCGCCCATGAGACTCCAAGTAGCCTACACCACGCCCTCTTGGCAGCCCAGTGGTACCCTTTTCCCTTTTTTTGGTTCAAGGTTCCCTTAGAAATTAACCAACCAAAAAAGGGTGCCCTATATGGGTACTGGAGTACCAAGCCCTAAACCAGAGATGCAAGCCCTTTCTCTGGCAGGGGAGCCGGCCTCACTTCGAACTTTAAGGCTTAGTGTTTGTAAGGTTTAGAATTTATTGCTGTTTAGGGTTTAGGGTTTATAGGGTTTACTGCTGTTTCTATGCCAAGCGGCCGGTTAGTAGGACAGTGTCCGGGTGGATCTCAACTCGCCACGTCGGACCCGTCCCGTAGAGCCAAAAGAGCAATCCAGCAGCTAATCCTGCAGAAAGAACGGCAAAACTGCTACGCAGACGCCCAAAAGGACAAGACAACTAAGAACAGCAGTAGAATATCAATGTAAACAAGGGGGGCTTATACATCACACATGTGCGTATTTGTATATATATATATATGAGCCTGAGACCTTTAGGGTTCTTTTGGCTTAGTTTTTACAGAGCCCTTTAAA